GAGTGCGTTGCGCAGGTAACCCGACCATGGATAGCCGGCACGCCCAAGTATTTGCCCAAGTCATTGGTCTTTTCGATACGAAGCCTGCGTGAGATTACCTCCGCCTTGCCTGGGTTCGTGTTTTTTGAAAAGAACACCTGTGACTTGCTTAAACAGATCTTCTGCCCCGAAGTCCTGCAGAAACGGTTGAGACAATCCTTCACCACCTCCACCTGCTCGGCCGAGGCTTCCGTGAAGAGCAACGCTCGGGGCTGAACGGCTCCAGCCTCTCCCCATTCCAGATGATTGAGAGCCTAGAGGTCTGAATACAGGTCATCATGAGCTCTTTTAAGGTCCCTGTAAAACCTGCCTAGTCAAGTGTGTCTCGAATAAAGCACCAAGAGAGCCGGTCATAGGCCTTTTCTAAGTCCAACTTGATCGCCATGTACCCTTTGCATCCTTCTTTTCCTTGCATAGTATGCATCACTTCCTGGAATATGAGAATATTGTCTGTGATCTGCCATCCGGGGACAAAGGAGCTTTGGAAATGCCTCACAATCTTGGGCAGAATATGCTTAAGCCTGTTGGTGATCATTCTTCGTTATGATTTTATAAGTTACGTTGCAAAGGCTAATAGGCCTAAACTGCTTGATATTCTCAGGGCTCTAGACTTTAGGGATCAAAGCGACGAGAGTGTCATTTAGACCATCCTGCAAGGTGCCCGTCGTGAAGGCATGCTGAACCAAACTGAACACGTCATCTCCCGTCTTGTCCCACATGTGCTGGTAAAACCCAGCTTGGAATCCATCGGGTCCCGGTGCCTTGAAAGGCTTTATGTCTTTAAGGCCATTATGTACTTCCTCCTTCAAGACATCTCTGTTGAAGACAACCCAATCAAGAGGCCGTAAACGGGGGAAGTTAGCATAACTCTGCACTGTCGAAACCCCTTCATTTTCTTCAGTAAAAAGCCGCACATAGAACTGTCTGACATGGCTTTGAAGAGCCGTGTCTTGTGTGACCCACACCCCGTCTTCATCTCAAAGTGCACGGACAGAAACTCGGGCTTTGCGTATTGCAATTGCAGCATGGTAAAAGGCCGTATTCCTATCCCTAGAGCTGATCCACTCTTCCCGGGACTTCTGATACCAAAAGAGTTCTTCCTGTTGAAGAGTTGTTTCCAGCTCCTTCCGTAGTTTCAATTCGAGTTTGATAAGGCCTCTGTGACAGTTGACCGCCAAAACCTTTTGTATGCCACTAATACGGGGACGCAAGAATCCTCTTAAGTTTAAACACATTCCCAAAGGTTTCTTTATTCCAAGTGGACAGTTCGGCAGCTAAGTTGCACGTGTTGTCCATCAGGCCCCTTCCCGGTTCCCATGTGCGCTCGACTACGCCATGGATATCAGCGTGTGTGAGCCAAGCCGCCTGGAAGACAAACGGCGCCGCAGTCCGTCGGTGACTTTCACCGTCACACCGTATGAGGATAGGCGCATGGTCAGACGCGAAACGGGCGAGGTGTGTGACAGATGCCTCTGGAAACCTAATTCTCCAGTCCGTGTACGTTGCACAAAGCCAGGTCTAAACGGGCACCCTTAATGGTGTTACTGTTGCTGTCCTTTATCCAGGTCAAATTCGGCCCCGAGAAACCCATATCAATCAAGCCTTCATCTAGAATCCAGCTTGCGAAATCCGAGCTCCTGTGAGAAGAAAAAGAAGAGTAGTTACTAGTTTCATCTTTGGAAAGGACAGAATTAAAGTCCCCGCTACTAGCCAGGGTCCATCGATGCCTCGTGCTGATTGCCTTAGGTCCTGCCAAAGGAGCCGCCATAAGTGGTGCGTTGGACTACCATACACCGCCACAAGCCACCACGGGTGCTGGTTATTATCCAAAACCTGTAACAAAATAAACTGGGGATGAGTATGAGAAATCGTGATCCGCATCGGGTCCTCCCAAAATACCCAAATGCCACCACTGAAACCAACGGCCTCCACTCTAACCCAGTCCGAGAAACCAAGCTTCTTGCAGATAGAGTTTGCATGAACGCCGGAGACCTTGGGCTCAAAAAGACCCAAAATATTTGGCCTGTGCAGCTTGATAAGCAGTTTAAGGGCGCGCAGGAACAGCTTGCCACCTGCACCTTGACAATTCCAAAATAGGCAATTCATGGACAAACAGATAGAGAAAACAGAGGGGAAACAAAACAAAACACCAAAACGAAAGGAAAAGACACCACAAACAAGAAACAAAGGCGGAGGAGCTTATTGGGCTCCCCCGTTACCTCCACCCTCGTGCTGCGCCTCGAGGTCCATGACCACGTCTCCTTCGTCGTCAATCGCCCCTGGGGGATCGTCGAAATGCTCCCTAGTGAATTGCCATACCGGAGACGGCAGCGCATCTCCAACATCGACCGCGTACACACGGGAAGAATGTATCACTAGACCCCTTTGCTCACCCCTGACAACCACGTGTTCACTTTCCTCTGCCGCACGCCTGTAGCTCTCCCCAACTGCCCGCCGCGCTCTGCCCCACATGTTCACTACTTTAATTATATAACTAACGTATTTAAATAAAACTTGTAAATAAAATAACATGCGATATTTGTCGAAAATCTCCACCAAAAACTTATTCATTTGAAAAAGATTATTTATGTAAGAACTATATTTATTTTATATCTAATTTCTCCTCTTTATATATGTGGGGTCAAATTAATTATAATTGAGGTTTAAATGAATATATACACAAATTATATTAAATATAAAACTTTATCAATAAATTTGAACACAATAAACTTTTTTCTATACTTCATTATGCTTTAATATATAGAGAGATAGAGATAGAGCTATAATAATAAAATATAATTTATAAATTATAAATACACATAATAACTTTTAAAAAAAAATATATGTATAAATACATCTACCTACACAATTAACGCATTCATTCTTGCTAATCTTGTTTCTATCAAAATGCATTCACACTTTGGAGAAAAAATTTTGTGGCTAGATTCTACTTTATTATATATATATATATATATATATATATATATATATATAAAGGTTAAGAGAAAATTTCAATTTTGGTCACACGACTATAGTGGCTTTGTTAATTTCGACATCTAACTTTGAAAAGTATCAATTTAGTACCTTGAGTATGTAATTTTTGTCAATTTTAGTTACTCTGGTCAAATTGCCGATCAAATTTGACCGAAAAAAATTAATCTAACATTTAGTCTAAAATCTGAAGGGCAAATTGGTCTTTTCTATCATTTCTCCTAATTGGTGTTGACCGAATTAAGTTATTGAGCCGGTTCAAATTGACCGAATTAAGTTGTTCACCTTCTCCTCCGTCGTCTTTGATTCTTTGGACGGAGAAAATTTGATCAAATTGACTGAAAAAAAGAAAACAAAAAAGTTAAATCCAACATTGAAATTAATCAGATGAATGGCACTAACTAACCTCAGATACTCCTGCATGAGTGAAGAAGGATCAGAGAGAATGAACTGAAGCCCTTTTCTCACCGGATCTTCATCTTCTGTTCATCAACCTCCTCTGTCGCCGCCGCCGGCTGGCTCCCACGGTGGCTGTCGTCCCCTTCTTCTTAGTATTATCTTCCCCATTGCACCTCGGTTTCTCCGACATCACCTCCATAACTAATCAAGAAACCACGACTGTTAATGCATACATATAATAATGTCTTTCCTAGGAATCATCAATTAAATTGATGGTGATGTGACACTGGACTATGGAGTTGGTGTGATGTTGAGAAAACGTTTCCCATCACTATAAAATCTCGTAGGCTGCCATAAAAGTGTGGATCTTAGGAGTCTCAAGCGGACGTTGGTTTGACAAATTATTTATGGCCTGACCCAATTTGAACCGGGTCAACAACTTTCGGTCAACACCAATTAGGAGAAAGGATTGAAAAGACCATTATGCCTCTTAAATTTTAGACTAAATGTTGAATTAAATTTTTTCGATCAAATTTAGCCGGAATGACATACTCAATGTACTAAATTAATACTTTTGAAAATTAGGTGCTGAAATTAACAAAGCACATATAATCTTGTAATCAAAATTGAAATTTTCTCTTTTATTAATGTTGTTGTTGTAAATAAATTAAATTTTCCACTGGTCGGTGAAGTCTAATGTAATAGCCAAAAGTCTGCAAACTCCACTAGGGATATCAATTTAGCCCGAACTCGATGAGCCAACCCGATAAAACCGAAACAGACAGGGCTATGGCCCGAACGGGCTAGCCGATAAAACACATTAGCCCGACGAGCCCGAAACCGATTAGCCCGGTGGCCCGATAGGGCTAGCCTGAAATTAAAAGGGCTAGCCCGACAACCCGAACTATTGAAAATTATTTTTTTATTATAGAAGTGATGTGAAACCTAACATACATGGAATAATTATTATAATTAAAAATAAATAAATAAATAAATAAATATATATATATATATATATATATATATATATATATATATATATATATATATATAATTTAAATTAAAACTTAAGTTTTTAGTTTTTTAAAATTTAAAAAACATTAATTTAATATTTTGACTAAAAATTGATGAGAACGGAATTCTTCGTCCCTGTCAAATTCTCCGCGGGAACGTAGATAGGGACTATTTTTAATTTTTCATTGAGGACAGAGACGGGGAGTATACTTCCCGCGCCCGCTCCGACCCGCCCCGCCCCATTGTCATCTCTACTCTAAATATGGGTACTCACTTTCCGTTTTTAGTTTTAGTTCAGATGGTTCAACCCGTCCGATTAGCCCGACAACCCGAAGTTTAGGGTTAGGGCCAAACCGAACCCGAGAATAAAATATTAATAAACCGATTAGCCCGACAACCCGACAGGACTAACCCGAAACCGAGTGGGCTGTCCCGATTGACATCCCTAAACTCCACTATTAACGACATATATATAAAGCCTAGTGCATGAAAGTTGAAAACCATCAAGGTATTTGATAAGCTAAATACATATAGAAGCTATTTTCAAAGGGGAAAAAATGGTGAAGATATCTTTTGGAAGCATTGGAGACTCGTTCAGTGCTAGCTCAATAAAGGCATATGTAGCTGAGTTTATTGCCACCCTTCTCTTTGTTTTAGCTGGGGTTGGGTCTGCCATAGCATATAGTAAGTGAAAATTTTACTATGCTCAGTGTATCACTTTCACCGAATTCTTCCTTCTCTAATTCAAATTTATCTGTTCCTTATTGGAACGGTTCAATCATTCTAATTATTCCAATAGCGTTTCATCCAAATGAGTTTCTGAAAAATGATTGGAATAGTTAGAGCTTCATCTAAACGATTATTTAGAGAGAGAGAGAGAGAGAGTGGAGCAATGAAGTGTCCTAACAGTTCTAATTGCTCAATCTCTCGAAGTTTATGTTTGGGAAGCGCGGTAGGAAATTGACATGGATATTTGTTTATATAATTATGTAAATTTTTTATTATGTACATTTTTTATACAATTATGTACATTCAAATCAGGAAATTTTTGTGTATTATGTTAAGAGTTGATGTGTATTATGTTAAAAGTTTATGTTTATTATGTATTATGTTAGATTATGTGTATTATCTTTTAAAAAAGAGTATGGCCCTGTTTGGTAAAATGGATGTTAGCTGTTAGCTGATTGTGTTAATTAGAGGGTATAAATAGTTGATAACATTAGCTGATTGTAGAAAAATGTTTGGTAAATTAGCTGTTAGCTTATAGATGTTTGCTATAATTTCTTTTCTCAAAAAGCTAATTGAAAAAGTTGCTTGGAGTACCTTTTTGAATTTTAGCCTTTTGGAGTTGTAAAAATCTAATTAACCAAACATTTATATTGATATTTTAACTAAATCAAACAATTAATAGTGGTCAAATAAGCCAAAATTGACTTATAGGCTAAGTTTTTACCAAACAGGGCCTATGTGTATTTTATTATATAATTATATACATTCATGTATACAAATATGTGTATTATAATATAACATTATGTACATTTTTTAACATGAGATTTTTTTAAAGAAAAGTTAACTGTCAAACACTAGGTAGCGAAATTTCAAAAAGAAAAATTAAAAAAATTAAAACAACGTCGTTTTGCATCTGGACGCACAATGCAACGCGCACCGTGGTGCAGGATATAAATTGCCAATTGCAATTGGGTTCATTGTTGGGGCTAACATCTTAGCCGCCGGCCAATTTAGTGGTGGGTCGATGAACCCAGCCCGATCTTTTGGGCCTGCTGTAGTTAGTGGAAGTTTCTACTTTCTACGAGAACTGGATCTATTGGGTCGGCCCGCTCATTGGGGAGGAGGTTTGGCTGGGCTGATTTACGGTGATGTCTTTATTGGGCTACCAGCACATTTACCCCAATCGTTATGCTGTGCATCCGTATGCACCATACATAGTGTATACAGATGCAAAAACAACATCGTTTTAACGTCTAACTTAAAAAAAAAATCAAAATTGCATAATTACATATCCATAATTTCATAATTATATATCCAGAATTACATAACTACACATCCATAACTTCATAACTATAAATTCAGAATTGCATAACTACACATCCATAACTTCATAACTATACATCCAGAATTGCATAACTATACATCCATAACTTCATAACTATAAAATTCAGAATTGCATAACTACACCATGCATAATTACACATCCATAATTTCATAACTATAAATCCAGAATTGCATACCTACACATCCATAATTTCATAACTAAAAATTCAAAATGAATGAACTAAAAAATGAACAACATAATATTGTTGATGGGAATCGAAACTGGTTTTTTTTTTTTTTTAAAATAGGACGCGAGTTTTGATGCAAAACGACGTCGTTTTTGTATCGGTATGCACCATGCATGGTGCATACGGATGCACAACATAATTTGCCCGTCTCCAGGGATTACGCTTACGGTTCTTTATTGGGTCTCACATGGCCCACTACCGGTCATGTGGAAAATTATTGTATGGACCATGAATGCAATTTATATTTTTAATATACTAAAAGTACATTATTTGATAACATATGAAAATCATGTACTTTCAAATACTGTACTTTTAGTATATTAAAAATATACTTTTTAACCATGGTCCATGAAATCATGATTACGGTCCTGTGGCAAATTATTGTGTGCACCACGGTTCAAAATGACGTCGTTGAATTTTGAGTTAGAATAATTTACATTATGAGTTAGAATAATGTACTTTATATGTTAGAATAATGTATTTTATGTGTTAAAATAATATACATTGTGTTAAAATAATGAAACTTTTGGAGTAAGATAATGTACTTTATGAGTTAGAATAATGTACATTATGCTTTAGAATAATGTACATTATGAGTTATAAAAATGTATGTTACAGTTGATCACATGTAAAAAAAGTTGCGCAAAACAACGTCATTTTTAGACAGTGATCCACACAGCTATGTGAACAATGGTTCATGCAATAAGTATTGCAGTCCTGTGTGATGTGTTGTGCTTGTATTTTCCTTTTTCCTTTTAATCTTTTTTTTTTTCTAATAAATTTTACTATAGACCGTGGTCCATGTAGCAGTATGGATCATGTATAAAAATGACGTTGTTATTAGTTTTTCCGGTTAATAATGGTAGACAATAAATTTCGTTATGATCCATGTAACAACATCTCTCATTATTCAGTTTTATTTTATAAACATTGTATTTTCATTACAATACGCCTAAAATATCATTATAATTTAACTACAATTTAATTTGATAATATATACTCAATATGTAAGATCTGCTATTCAGTTTCATTTTATACATAAGAGTTAATTTCATTATTAGTCCTAGATTTATACGTGACAATTTACTTTTAGTCCTTTTTCTTTTCAAAATATCTCCCTTTGGTCATAGTATTAGTGTGACATGACCATTTTTGGTCCTCCATCAACAAAACCGTTTAACTTTCGTAAAATACAAGTTCATTTAGGTCTTCGATCAATTTTGATTTTTTTAAATAAAATAAAAATATAAATATAATAGGTCAACTCACTTTGTATAAAAAAAAAAAAAAAAAAGATCAAAATGTCCTTGTATTTAGCGATATTTTAATGATTTTGTTGACGGAGAACCAAAAATAGTCATGCCATAATAATACTAGTACCAAATGAGAATGTTATCCAAAAGAAAGACTTAAAAGTAGACTGTCACCTATAAATCTAGGACCATAAATGGAAATAACTCTTATACATAATGTAGTTTCATTACAACACCATTAAATTATTATTTTTATTCAATTATAGTTTCATTTGATAATATACACTCAGTATGTGAGAAATGTTATTCAGTTTCATTTTTATATAGTGTTTTCATTGCAGCACCACTAAAGTATCATTCTAAGTTTCATTTGATAATATACATTAAGTATGTTAGAGTTGTTATTCAGTTTCAATTTATACACAATATAGTTTCATTACAACATCACTAAAGCTAAGTATCATTCTTATATATCCGACTTTGTATTCAAATTCATTTTATACACACTCTAATTTTATTACAATACCACTAAAATATCATTCTAATTTAACTACATTTTCATTTGAAAATATACATTCAATATGTAAAACATGTTATTCAGTTTAATACACCCCCGAGCTTCCTTGTTAATTGTCTTGATTATGACTTAATGAATTAGCTCTTGTTTCAAAAAAAAAAACAAAAAAAAAAACATGTTATTCAGTTTAATTTCGATCATTTCATACACACTATAATTTTATTATAGCTTTACTAAAAACAAAAAACAAAAAAAAAAACAAACAAACAAAAAAAAAACAAACAAAAAAACAAACAAAAACGAGCACATAATTGTACGTAAGAAACTAACTATTAATATTTCTTTTTATTAAAAGAAACGGTGTCGTTTTGAACCATAGTTCACTATATCATGGTTGCTTTTTTCCCAACTCGGCCTTGAATGTTTTGCTAAGCGAAGAAAAAAAAAAAAAAACTATATTTTCCCTTATTTTGGTTAAGTAGACTATATGTAATTTACTTTCTCTCTCTTGCATATTAAAATTTACCCATCACTTTTCTAATCAGAAACAAGTTTAGTTCCTACTGAAATTATGTATCATACTTTGCACGAAATAATACGCGGGAAGTAGAGTATTTGAGTATGGGCAAATTGTTGCGTGGATGGTGGTCCAAACAGCTGTGTGAAACACGATCCAAAATGATGTTGTTTTGATGTTCAAATTTTTTTTTTTTTTTGTCTGTGCGTTTTAGAATAATGAATATTTTGGGGTAAGATAATATATTTTATGAGTTATAACAATGTACTTTATATATGTTAGAATAATGAAATTTATGGGTAAGATAATGCATGTATTTTATGAGTTAGACTAATGTACTTTATGTGTTAGAATAATGATATTTATGGAGTGGTAGGGAATATCCCGACCGACATAGCTCCACCACGACCGAGAAGCCTTTGTCTTTTTCTCTTTGTCTTTGCAGGTAACAGGTCGGGCTCCTTGTGAAGAACCCGGTCGGGGGCCGACCGGGAGTTGCCCGAGCGACGGTGTCGACCGCCGAGCGGTAGCCCATTGGCGAGAGAGCTGACGAAAGACACGTGGCGACTCTCTACGACGACAGACAGGGCACCCGGGAGGATGACACGTGGTGGCTACGTGGAGGACATGCCGAACGGCTGGAATCCTGTCCCCGGCATAGCGGCTATAAATACCCACAGTAGCTACAGTGTAGGGGACTTTTGGACGATCGATAGGTTGTTGTTAGAGAATCCCGACCGCAGTCAGTCGGTACTCAGAGCAACCAAGTAGATTGTACTTAGGGCCTCTACCGTGATCAATAAAGACAGTTACTTGCTTTAATTGGTCTCGAGTTATTTCATATTGCTTACGTATAATTAGCAGTATCATTTTGGCGCCGTCTGTGGGGACCCGTGCAAGAAACCAACGTCTTGACGAGCACCCGGTCTCTATATCAACATGTATCCGTGGGCACACAATAACTTTGCCGACGACCAGGCGGATGCGGCGAGCTCCTCCAACCACTATGCTACCCAACAGCAGGGTCAAACGATGGACCTCAACCTCAACCTCTCACCACCGCATCCATCAAATGCATACCCGGCCGCCCAACAGCCGGTGAATTACATACAACCGGGATACCCAACACCCGGTTTGCCATATCAGCAGCAGCCGATGATGTATCCCGCCCAGTATCCCTACCCGGTCCCACCCCCGCTGTATGGGTATTGGCCAGGCCAACCAATGTGCTACACTTCCCCGGTTGGTTATCCACCATATACGCCTGCTTATACAGCTCCAGCCGCCGCCCCTCCAGTACAACCGACCGCACAGGTAGAGCCGCAGCGTCAGTCCGCATCCCGGGCTCGACGCTCGGCTCATTCGCGGTTGGAGTCGGGGGGTGCTGATGCGATGGAGGCACCAGCTCAGGCCGTCCAAGCGGAGGACCCTGAAGAAGTTGCCCGAGCGGTAGCTTTTGATCGTCTTCGACCGGAAATGCGCCAGCGTTTGGGACCACAAGACCCGAACCGCGGGCAAGAAGACGTACAGATGCAGGAGGCTAGTCAGGAGGCCTCATCTGGGTATAGCGGGTCGAGATCTCACCGACGGCGACGCGCTCGGGATACAGCCCAAGCCGCTCAAGCCGCCGAGCTCAACGAAACCCGAGGATTGCTCTATAACCTCCAGGCGGAAGTTGCGCAGCTCAGGAATGCGTACCCTGCAACACCCCCGGTCAACCAATCGACCCTACACCAGACGCCTTTCACAGCAGCGGTAATGGCCCAGCCTTACCCGCTTGACTTAAAGGTCTCTGGAGAGAAGAGTTATGATGGACGGGCAGACCCTGAGGTCCACGTGAATGATTTTTTTAGCAACATGATGCTGAAGGGCGTTTCAGACGCCGTGATGTGCAGGGCCTTCTACTCGACCCTCACCGGTCGGGCGGCAGAGTGGTTCCGTACCCTGCAACCGGGGTCGATCGATAAATTTGAGACCCTGGCGATCAAATTTGTGAGGAAGTTCATCACTTCGAAAGTGGTGAGGAAGTCCTACATGTATCTCGAGAAGGCCAAGCAATTAGAAGGGGAAAGCTTGACCGATTTCCTCATCAAGTGGAAGGCGGCGGTTGGGGAGGTCGAGCCTATGGATGATGCAACCGCCACCCATATGCTTCACATATCTCTCCGGGCGGGACATTTGTATCAAGACTTCATCCTACACCCCCCGACCAGTTACGAGGAGGCCCTTCGGAGGGTCACAGACTATGCCAACGCCGGCGAGGCGAACGCCGTAAAGCGCTTGCAGGAGGTCGGTTCTTCGTCCCGTAAGCCGGCCGGCCGGGCGGAACATCGGTCGGGAGATGACAATCCCCGATCCCGCACCAGGCCTGGCGAGTTTACGGCCTTGAACCGATCTGCAGCGAAGGCCATGCAGTACGCCCAGTCCTGCAATCTCATCAAACTCCCTCATCCCGATCGAGACGGCCCTGACAAGAGTAAGCACTGTGCTTACCATCGATGCGCTGGGCACGACACCGAGGAGTGTACCCACTTACGCCAATTGTTGGAAGATCTGCTCAACCTGGGAAAATTGGACAAGTGTGTGGGGAAGAGAGAGGACAACAAGAAGAATACCGATCGGAGGGATCACAGGCGTTCTCATCACCGCTCCGATCGGTCAGGTCAGGACCGAAGAGACGATCGAAGGGACGATCGTCATAATGACCGATGGGACCCTGACCCTCCGTCTGGTAGCCGCCCGTCCGGAAAGCCTACCATCCACGTCATTTTTGGTGGACTGGAAGATGCTTCCCGATCGCGGACTAATTGCCCGGTCGCTATAGTGGATTCCCGGGAGACCGGGAAGAGGCAGAAGATGGAACCCATAACCTTCACCCTCGAGGACCAACCTACCAGCAGCGACCACGGCATGGAGGCGCTCGTGGTCACGATTGACGTTAAGGGGACGGACGTCCAAAGGGTTATGGTGGATACGGGCAGCAGCGTGAACGTCCTTTACTTGGACGTCTTCGAGAAGCTTGGCCTCGACAGGAAGGAGCTGACTCCGGTCGGTGTACCACTGTCAGGATTTACCGGGGCTCTCATTTACCCCGAGGGAAAGATAACGCTCCCGGTCGAGATCGGCACCCCTCCAAAGTCGATCAAAACGGAGCTGGAATTTGTTGTGGTCAACCTCCATTGCGTCCACAACATTATCTTGGGCAGACCCGCCATCATGAAGATCGGTGGGATAATTTCTATGCCCCACCTGTGCATGAAATTCCCCACCCCCAATGGGGTCGGCGTGGTCCGCGGCGATGTCCAATCCGCCCGGAAGTGTTACACCCGAGCGGTCAACAGACGTGACTCCGGTCCATCTTCCCGGGTGAACACCATAGCCAAAGAGGAGGCTAAGGAACGGAAGGAGCAGCCTGAGCCTTCCGAAGAAATAGAAGAAGTTCCCCTATCCGAGGACCGCCCGGATAGGAAGATCAAGATTGGCCGAGCCCTCACCCCCGAGCTTCGACCGGAAGTTTTGGCCATACTCCGGGAGTATGCTGATATCTTTGCGTGGGGGCCTGAAGACATGCCCGGGATCGATCGATCGGTCATCTGTCACAAATTGGCCGTCGATCCCTCAGCCAAGCCGGTCGTGCAGAAGACACGACACCTTTCCTCCGATCGCCGCGAATTTGTCAGAGAAGAAGTCAAAAAGATGGCGGCGATCGAGCACATCCGTCCGGTGGTCTATCCCGAGTGGGTGGCAAATATCGTTCTTGTTCCTAAGCCCCCGGCATGGAGGATGTGCATCGATTTTACGGACCTCAACAAGGCCTGTCCGCTCGACCCGTATCCTCTACCGAGCATTCACCAGATGATCGACGAGACGGCCGGGGCCGAATTAATGAGCTTCATGGATGCCTTCAAGGGGTATCATCAGATCATGATGCACCATGAAGACGAGAGCAAGACAGCCTTCGTGACCCCGGATGGGCTGTATTGTTACCGAGTGATGCCGTTCGGCCTGCGGAACGCAGGAGCGACCTACCAGAGGATGGTCAACATGCTCTTTGCCGATCTATTGGGTCGAACGATGGAAGCTTACATCGATGACATGCTGGTCAAGAGTTGGGACCGATCCGACCATACTCGGGACCTCCGGGAGTGCTTCCAGATCATGAGGAAGTACCAGTTGCGGCTGAACCCGACCAAGTGCACATTCGCGGTTCAGACCGGCAAGTTCCTCGGTTATATGATGACCAAGAGGGGAATTGAGCCCAACCCGGCCAAAGTAAAAGCGATTCTGGACATGCAACCACCTTCCACCGTTCGGGA